CTGTATGTCACCTGAAAGACCCCGATCTGTCGGGTCGGACCCTCACATGTCAGTCTGAGAGTCTCTTGCACCGACTGGGGCCACCCTGGGAAAACGCGGGACTCTATTTTGATCAGAAACTACCAGCAGCGAACAGCCGGCTCCGCATGGGTTTGGGCCCTGGGACCCCATTTCCCAAGCAAGGTCAATGCTGGGACCCGCGATTTGCATTGGCCGGGAGTCGGGATTCCCGAACAATGAGACCCTATGTCGGCAAGAGGCCCCGAGTCGGCCAGGGTAACATTTGCTGAGCAGGGCCAGAGGCTAGGCCCAGAATGCCAGAGAGCCTCTTACATTGGGCGGGGACCTCTGACAATGAAAGTGGAAGCGATCATTTACGAAGAGAGTCCACCATCAGACAATGGAAGCCCTATGTCAGTCAGGGGTCCTATTCCAGAACGGGGAGCTCTCCATCCCATTTCAGCCAGTGGTCCCTTATTCTCAACTGGGGTCTTTATGACAACCATTGAACACTTGTGTCGATAAGAGATCTGTTTTGCGTCAATGAAGTCCCTGCGTCGATCCAGGTCCAAATTTCCGGGTCCGGGGCCTTCGTTTCCTTAGTTTAAAATAGGGCGGATTAACATAAGGCCAACACGTGAGAAACGGGCCAACACAAAGAGGACGTCCATCCAAGTGTGTCACTTTTATGTTTTTGGAGTGCCTGAGCTGGTCCCCCACCCCAATTCTGACCTTGAGGGAGCGTTGCGCATGTGAAGATATTTAAGGAAGCATCGAGTATGATAAAATATGTCTACCTACAACTTTTCGTACACCTTTAATTGAAAAGGCCTGTTCTGCACAACGGAGTTTCTTGGTTTAGCATACATGCTTCTCAATACGTCGTTGTTTGATTCCGTTACGGAACGTTTGCACGACGTTGAGATGCTACCGAACTAACCGCGCGCGATTGATACCCTAGCACTTACATGTACCACTTCAACTCGCCAAAAGATGGCAATGGTGTTCCTTGAAGTGTTCGCTGAGCCAAACATAGTTATGTGTTCCTGCCTTGGCCCTTTCTCGTGTTCTTGCATATCAACCCGTTAGTTCAAGAAATTCCCTTGAATTCACATACTCAGTTGTGACACTTTACTCAAGTAATTCGATGACTAGCCTCATTCCCGTAGTCCTCAGCAACCATGTCCAACTTCTTCTATTATGCACCAGAAAATGTGATTCGTGCTTGAAACTTGCACAGCTTTCTTCACATTGAATAAGAACCAATTGGCGTCCACTAGAAATGGAAGTCGTGCTCACGCACGCTTGATCTAATTGTCTCAGCGATAATATTTTTGTTGGCCTTCAACGCCGCATGGCCAATGGGATGGCAGAATTTGAATGGCGTTGCTACTGTGTCATGCATGCCTGAATGACCCTGAAGTAGACTGCACGAAACTGTCTGCATGTCTTCACGGAGGTTTAAAGCAGAAACTCGAGGGTTTTAGATCTTAAGAAGGGTGGGCTGTGGACTGCCCCAAAATCATCTTCAAAATGGCTATTTCAGTTAAAAAAACCCCAAACAAATGTGACTAACTCCTCTCGTTTAAGCCCCTTCAATGCTCTTCTGCCCCCCCCCCCCCCCCCCTATGAGCATGAACAGATAAGGGTACACAGAAGTAATGAAACGTAACTAGTGTCTTAACTGCACACTAGGTCCTGAACACACCACTATCGATAGCATCAACTTTATGTACTGTCATTATCACGGCCACATCGGCTTCAAAATGAAATCCATTCTTCAGCATCGAAATGAGCTTGGGCCCGACAAAATATTTGGAGTGCTCTTAAATTCAGCTTTGGAGCAGGGAGGCAAATAAAAGCGAACAAAATCCGGATGGAAATCAGGATTTTAGGGCTGGTTAGGTCAACTTTATTTGCTCAGCTCCCTCTCCAATCGATTTTATAAGTCGACAGCCCTGCGCGCGTCCTTGTTCCGGGGCAGCCTGTGAAACAGACTACATGTAAAGCTATGAGCCTCTGACTGTTCGCAGTCATAGAAGCAAGAACGCCGATGGCCGGGTTTGCCGTTTCAGTCGATCCGAGCGGCGTTGGCCGCCAACACCGGGCGGCGGACGCCTGACGCGCGAGAGCAGCCGTCGTTAAAGAATCCCTCCGAAAGTCTCTCAAAAACTTTCTTGCCTGTCAAAAATTAGACTGGGTTTTAATTACACTATCTGAAATTTTGAGGATGTCATCTGAACAGACGAAAGGCTACAGTAGCGAGAAAAGAGATTTTGAGTTTGATTGTTGCGTTCCACCATCAAATTCCGACGCCTGTTCGCAACGAAATGAATGCTATCCCGTTATCTTACGAAAAAAATAAGCTGCGCGAGTGAAACATGTTCCCGACCACTATATAAACGTACAAATTCACATCATATAACGTTCAAAGGTACTTCCTTTTGGAATCGTTGCCGTTCTCGCCGGCTCACCGGTCACCAGCTTCTATCAGCAAGTAAACCGACGCTTCTCGGCTTGCGGAGACTGCAACGCCGGGAACCGGGGTTTTCGTTCAAGGCTGGAGAGCTTGCGTGGCGAAAGCTTTGTTATGCTATTCATCTACTGCTCAGGTCTGAAACAAAGCTGAACTTTCCCAGATGAACGGTCACTGAGGAGCCAGCTCAACTAGCAACGCTTTTGCAATCAACCTGCGCTGACGTGACATTTACATCATGGTCGTTTGATTTGCCATGCATTCGGACTTTCAACTGCCAGACTTTCACGGGATTGCTTTGGCTACACGCATGAGCTTAAAAAAATACGCAGTAAGTTAAGTTCACCTATATGTATATGCATATATGCATCTATGCATATGCATGTATGTATAT